ATACACAAGTACATTGAATTACTATAAATAAATAGTAATTGCGATATTAAAATTGTTAACATTATCTTCTTGTAATTCAAATGCTGCTCAATTGATCAAATTTTGTTACATCCATGAATAATTCCTGCCATCTTTAATGTCCTGTGCCACTAATTTAACAGTGGCCGAAAAAAAAAACTCCTGTGTAGGTGTACAAAACTCATCTWCAGAAGTCACACTATAACATGAATAAGATGCATCTGTGGACAGTCTWGGGCTGTGCGGTATGACCTGAAATTCATTTCACAGTGTAAATTGAATCTCTTCATGGTAACGGTATATATCGCGGTGGAAAATTATCATAAAATGTTAAGATAATGTAATTTTTAGAGCATTTATTTTGCAGAAAATTGTAATCATAATTAAACCCAGCATTTTTGCTGTAAGTGCAAATTAACATAACAGAAGTACAAAAGAATGTTTTCTATCTATCTATCTATCTATATAAAACATTTCTCAAATTTTCAGCAAATGATCCTGCGACACAACAGTACGACATAACTTCTACAGCGGGAGGGGGAAATTTTGAGGATTTATTCTCTCTATACGTGTTTTAAAACGCTACATTTCTTCATTTATTTTCAGAATATTACGAACTCCTCCTGCTCAGTTGTCTCTGCACTCACAGCCCTGTTGACACAGGTGCGATGACGTAATGACGATAGGACGGTAGAGGGTAAATCATAGGCCAACTTCATATCGTTTCTACCGTCTATCGCATTTACTGCGCCGCCCTAGGACAGTCCAAACCTTAAATAATCTGATAACGCCCAGAATCAACATCCGTGTCATCACCTCTAAGTACCAAGAGCTTCTATCAAGCAACATTAAGAAGACCAAGAAACTGTCCACACAGGGTTGGCTTAGGAAAACATCCCACAGAGCACCAGCAAATCTGTGCTTAGAAAATTAAAAGGTAATAAATGATRGAACATTTGACCATGAAGAACATCTTCCATGGCACAAACATGACACCTCATCACGAGGAGAACACCACCCCTACAGTGAAGCATGGTGGTGGCAGCATCATGTTGTATAAATGGCTTCTGTAAGCAGCAACTGGACGACTGATCAGAATTGAAGGAAAAAGAAACACAAATGCAATCCTTGTTGGAGTCTTAGAGACATTTGGGACTGGGTTGGAGCTTCACCTTCCAGCAGAACAATGAGTCAAAACACACAGCTGAAGCAGCCCTCTGATGGTTTCAGAAGAACCAGTTAAAGRTTTTWGAATGGTCCAGTCAAAGCYCARACCTCAAGTCATCAGAGAATCTGTGGTTTAATTAGAAAATTGGTCTGTTAAAAAAATGGGCAAATTTAATGACTAGAKGTGTGAAGCTCACAGAGACATACGTGAGGAGACTTAATGTCACTGTGTGACTCTTCAAAAGTATTGATTTGGGAGGTGAATGTTCTGCATGCTCAGGTTTTCATCCCACAGTGAATACTTCTGTAACCGACTGTACTGTATGAGTGTATCTCAGTTCAGGGGTTGCAGCCCACATAGGATGCATTTGTCAAAACCACAAAAAACATAGGATGCATCTGAGGCTACGTTCACACTGCAGGACTTAATGCTCAATTCTGATTTTGAAAAAAATCTGATCTTTTGATGTGAACGTTCACATTACATTTTAAATGCAACCTCCATCAGACTCCAGTGTAAACGCTACACAGCACTGATGTGACACGCTGCGCAGTAAAGACGTGACGTCTCATCAGCTGGCTTGTTTGTTTACAGAGTTAGCATGGATGCTACTTTTTGCATGTCAAATCTGAAGCTGTTGTTTAATCAGAGCCGATTAAATAATTATCTGCATGCTAATTTAGTTCAGTGTTTATATCTGAACCTGCCTCCGACCGGGATGCTCCTGTGAAGCTTTTTATTTTTGGAATGAAGCAACAAGCTGGAAATAAAGTATCGACTGAGTAACATTAGGATTGGTACGCTCTGCGACCGAGGCTGGACGTTACTATCTACAAGGAAAATTTCAAGTAAAAAGATGAAGCAACTGGACTTGTGTTTTGGAGCTGTAAACACATGGAGCTACAGATTTAAACAGCGTGACTTGAGGTTAGTGTCTTATCGATTCTTCACCACCTCACTGATGAAARAGTCGGATGGAATGTGACATGAGCGTTCACACTGCAGTCACTTTGAAAAACATCCGATTTAGAACCACATACTGAAACGGCCTGGGTCGGATTAGAAAAAAAAATCGGATTTGTCGCGTTCAGACCGTCATAAAAAAATCAGACATGGGTCCGATTTGCCTGCCGTGTGAACGTAGCCTCTGTTTCCTACATGGCCCATGATATTGCTTGGTGCATTGTACCAAAACAAAGATGGCTGAGGTTGTTTTTTTTAAACTTAGCATTTGGATATTCATCATGGATTGAAAAATTCATTTTTAAATATATGTTCAGCAACATAGCTGATCCTGACATTAAATAAAATGCAAGTTCTGATATTGAGACTAAACCCAAAATATTAATGCTTTTAATTTATTTACGTTCACATTATTTCTAATAAAAATAAATTTTGTGAAGTTATACCTTGAACAAACAACTGAAAGCATGTGATATAAAACATCACCATGGTAATGGGGCAGCGTGTGGACATACAAACATAAGTCATCAGAAGACTAGACCGTCTCATTTCACAGCTGTTTGTGCCGCTGAAAAGATCGGCCTATAGCCCACGTAGGGTGTGGTCTACATGGGCCACATCAATGTGAGACCCAGTTTATGTAAAATCAGGACATGGCTCATGTCAAGGCTTCATGACTCAAAACAAGCAGGCAGGCAGTGTCACCTGGTATGGTTGAATTGTGCATTAAACAGCTGGGAAATAACAGCAAAAGCATTGTTTTCATCATACCTGCTACTATGGCACTTGCAGTGAAGAACACAAAGTTAATGGGAACGACCTCTGTGGCATCAAACATCTTCATTGCCTGATTGAGAAATCTGAGTGGAGCCAAAAAGAARTGCAGGAAAATGATGTAGCGACATTTCAACCTGTTTAGCTGCTTATTCTGTAGATAAAGTGTCGTGTTTAAGGAGTGATTTCCTTTCAGCTCGTTCAGAAACTGTTTAAAGCACGTACTTATTCTGTAGTGAATGAGTTGGAGCATGAAAAGGAGTGTCTGAAAAAATAAGTAGACAAAGGAAGAGAGAGAAAACCTTGACTAACTTGATCTGGAATGCGCAGGAGGCGACCATGACGACGAGCATGACGTAGAAGATGGGGTAGATGAGCTGCAGCTGGCCTTTGATCGACTCGGTGATCATCCCCGACACAGCTTTGACCGAGATGACTGTAAGAGATGCTGACACAGCACAGAGGCAACGCATCACCTCACGATTCACACAACTTCAAGAGATCCACCCATCTGTTCTTGTAAAAGTTGCGGAGGCGTTTTAAGTTCCCATGTTTGTTTTTTTCTTTCTATTGTTTTCTGCTCATCTCTTAACAATAATGATAGCAGAGGTCCATTTTTGGTAGCCTGGCAACAAGGCAACCTCTCACTAATGAAAATAGCTTAATCCAAACCTCTGCCCTCATTTAGACAGCTTCCACTTGTTCATACCGAGCAGGGCCACCAGCAGCATCACGATGACGATGTGCTTCATGTTCCTTCTCTTGTACAGATACAGCAGGATACAAAACAGGACAATCTCCACAAACTGTTGAGAGCAGGAGAGGAGAGGCGTGTTAAAGAGATAAAGAGACATATTGTGCTCTTAAATTTTCCACATATAAATCCTTCAGTTGGGGTCTATATAAAGTGGAACTGCAATGCTTTGGTCTGAATTCCCCCATAGTGTAACTCCACAAGCCCCTCTTTCACCACCTTTTTTTTGAAGTGAGATAAATTCATTTTAAAGCTGTCTCTTTAAAGAGTGGGTATTACAAAACACTGACTTTTAGAGCTTTATATCATGTTATATCTTTCCCTCATCAGAAACATTCCTAGAGTGTTGCTTCTACTCATTCTTGCATGTTTGATTTGATTTGATTTGATTTATTGATTTAACAGGAAAAGATTATTAAAAATCAAGCCTGACTCAGC